GTGCATCCCCCTTTGGGAGCTGTCCTTGGACCTTAAATCACCTTGCATGAATGGTTTCTCTGTGGCTGCACCACAGAGATGAACAGAGAAATGAGGCCTATTTTGGGAAAGCTCAGAAACACTTAATTCTGTCTTATTATTAAGCCTCGCCGCTACACTTCTAATGCTTTTTCTTCATATGCCTATTAAACCCATTAGGCCATCTTTTCCTGGACTTAAACTTCACTCCCATATTCATTTAATGTATGAATTGGAAGAAAAGCCAGGTGTTTTTATTTTGCACTGCTTATTGACTTGAAAGCCAAACATTTCAAGTGTAGGTTGGAGCTCTTTCATCATCATCTCCAACATTCTCTACTCTCTGTTCTCTGCAATTCTAGTCGAACTTGTCAGCAAAGAGCCCTGACAGAACATTACTGGAACATGAAAGCAAAACATGTTACCAAAACTGGAACGTGACAAAAAGTGTGTCAGGCTGACAATATCTGAGGTAGAACTTGCTCCATGCCTTGCAGGAGACGTGACCAGGGCCCTTCCAGGGACAGCTGTTTTAAGTGCCAAGAATCTGCACATATGTGTTTTTGTGTTGTACATGGTGTTGTTCATGCAAGTTCTACCTCATAACGGACTATGAGACCATTTGTATATAGCAGCTACATATTCTCATGCAAACAGTTTCAAGAACCTTTTTGTAACACAGTATGATAATGTGTAAAAAGGAGAGTAAAACATACTGTCAAGTAGAGGCCATATGCTTAAAAATACATATCTCAATATTTTAGCTGTGATAAATAGTCATGTCATTTGCCAAACCACTTTATACCATACAGTGTCGTGGGAAGCTGGAGCCTACCCGGCAAGCAGTGAGTGCAAGGCAGGGTACACCCTGGATGGGGTGCCAGTCCATCGCAGGGCAAGTGCAAGCCAGTCATACAGTACATGGGGACAATTTGGAAGCCACGGTAAAGGCCGAGGGGGGAAATTTGGCCCGGACACCGGGATGACTCCCTACTCTTATCGAGAAATGTCCTGGGATCTTTACTGACCACTGAGAGTCAGGACCTCGCTTTAACGTCTCATCTGAAAAATGGGGCCCACTACAGTATAGTGTCCCTGCCACTATACCGGGACATTAAGACCGCAGACCGCACAGACCGCAGGGTGGGTGCCCCCTGCTGGTCCCACTAACACCACTTCCAGCAGCAACCATACTGTAGCTTCCCAGGAGGTCTCTCATCCAGGTAATGACCAGGCTCAACCCTGCTTAGCTTCAGTGGGTTGCCACTTGAGAGCTGCAGAGTGATGGTTGCTGGCTGTGATAACTAGTATACAATATATTTCAAGGTACTATACTGCAGTACTTTGATCAAGGTCTGTTTTTTAAATTTTTATGTACTTTATTGTGCCTGGCTGCATTGTGCTGAGGATGGCCTGGTTATTTATTTTCCACTTTGCAGTCCCATACAGGAGGTTCAGGTGAGACCTGAACTCT